TCGCTCCGCGGCCTCGCCCCGGCCGCTCCCTCCGCCCTGCCCTCTCCTCAGCGGTGCCCCCCCCCCCCCACCCCGTACCAGGAGGGCTTTTACTTTTTTTATTTCTTCAAATAAGTTTCAGCAGGGGGAAGCCTGGAGTGCCGCTGTTAGTGCTGGGAGAGGGTGAGGAGCAACGATTGGGCCCCGCATTGCCCAAGCCAAAGCTGCTCAGGCAGGGCAGGAGGCAGGTCACCCATTCAAGGTCACATCAGTCACAGCAATGTCTAAAGAAAAAAGTTTAAACTATTGAGAAGTTTTGGTTTGGGCATGGTTGAGGCATCACAGGCAGTACCCAACCTTTAACAGGATGGGAAATGAAACAATCTGCCTCACATGTTCTTTTGCAGTTGCTTAGACATAAGATGCAAAAAAATATAGCTTCTGGACCAAATTTGAGCCAAAAGAGTATCCTAAAGTAACTGTGGGTAACTATAACACTAAAATACACCCCAATACACACCTCCCCCTTGTGAATAATGAGCATGCTAATCAGGTAGCCTCCCCAAATGTTTTAAACATGATCCTAGAGCCATGTGTATAGTAAGGAGCAGTGAATGAATCATTATTGACCAATCAGCTGTATTTAATCACTATAAATACTGGGCAGTTTGAAACATGAGGTGCTGCTGGCTGTTGTTAATGCCCACCACCCAATTCTGCAGAATTGAAATAAAACCAAACATCTCAACTCAGGGTGTTGATTGGCTCTCACACAGCAGGTGGAAAACCCTAATTTCAGGCCAACATCAGGACCTAAAAAGCAAACTGCTTTTCACTAGAAAACCCTCCTTTTAATCTGGCTTGCTTCTGCAGGGGGGGAGCAGAGGAGCCACCTCCCAGAAGTAGTGCATGCCAAAAGAAATAAGGAACATTTTTAGAAGTTATTCAACTAGCACTTACCATGCAATAATACTTGCAGGTTGTTCAAAGGAAAGCCAGGAAGAACGCTTTGTTGCAATCTGGTGGAGAGGAAGGGCTGTAGCTCAGCACCCTGCATCTTTTTGTCTAAAGACTTGGGAGCTCTGCCCCGCAGAGCCAGACATAGCTGACCAAGGAGCAGAGCCAGGACAAAGCGCCATCATCCCCCTGTCCTTCAGATGCCACATCTCAGCACGTGCTCTCCAGGGCAGCTTCCATCTCTGGAGTCAGCAGTGATACTCCTCAAGAGTTTGCTTTGGCCTCTGTAACCCACAAGCAGATACTTAAGGTGACTCCTGTATATTGTAACCCACTCTGCTGCCCTTTAAATCCCCAGATTACACCCAGTTCGGTCAGCCGGGCACAAGAACCTTGCTCATTATTCCTCTGTTAATATTTCAGAATCAGGCCTCTATTGCAGCATCCCTGGAAACACACATACACTTTCTAGACAGCAAAACAGCATCTGATCTGTACTCAGAGGCAGGAAGGTCAAAGCAGATTAATTACTACAGCAGACAGAGAGTGCAAGCCGCTCTTGAGGTTTTAAAAACTGTGGGGATTTTCCTATATACAGGTTGGGAAATGAGGCACTTGCTAGTCCACTGGGGAATAAACAGCTGACAACATAGCATGAGTTAGCAAAAATCCTTTTGCTTTAATGCAAAGTTTGCTGCCATTGACTTCTGGCACTCTCACATATTTCTCCTTGATGAAGCGCAATCCACCCCTAAGCCAGAATTAGTTTTAGCAAAGCAATTCAGTTCTAGAAGTACAAGGGATTCCAGAACTAATAGAACTTGTGAAAGTTTTGCAAGACAATAGACAATCAGTAAAAAAGCAACTTAGCATCTCCATCTTAAAGATATAATAATGATACAGAGTTAAATTATCTTTTTTCCTGGCCTATGTACATTAAAGTAGTTACATATTAAAATTAGAATTAAACACATAAATCTATAGACAAACAAACATCCCTCTCCTGCTCTGGAGCTATTTAATTACTTTCTAAATTGAATAAACATTGCTAGAAAATAGAAGCACCCTTAAGCATAGAAAAAAATTCTATGCTATCTACAAACATAAAGTACTAAAGCTTATGCTTTAAAGCCTCTGAAAAAAGAGAATACACTTTTAAAGCTAAAGCTACTATATTTAGCTCTGATAAATAGTATAACAAAAAGATACTTACTGGCTGTTTAATCAGGAAAAAAAAGTTTTACCTAATGAGAAAGAGTTCAGCTGTGGATGGAGGATTTATAGGTTTGTGTGCAATGCCTCTTCACCCTTGATTGGCCTGTTTGAAAATCACCTTCCAATCAATCGACATCTTTGGCTACTTAAAGGTGAGGGGGAAAGCTAAGGTGAGTTAATTGAAGTAGATGAGCAGCTGTGGGTTGCGCTGTGGGTTGCGCTGTGGGTTGCGCTGTGGGTTGCGCTGTGTATAGGGTATGTTGTTGCTAAAAATCTTATGTAGTTCTTGGTTTAAGATATTTTTGCGTTCATTGGTATGTTATAGCCTGAGATATTTTCTTCTTGTATTTGTAGTAAAGATATTTCTTTTAGTTTAGGCTTTCTTTCTGATATATTCAGTAGTGCTGTGATGTTTCTGTTACCTTCCTTTTGTTATTCCTGCATGCTCGTACACCAGCCATGAGACTTGCACTGGGTTCTATGGTTTGAGAGTTGATTCTTCTTAAATTCCTCTAAAATACTTAAATCATCTTTTTGTGGGCTCTTGAGTTCTTAAATGCTTGGATAATATCAGCAAGAGGACAACTACAATTCAGTATGTGGGGGAAAGCAGTACATAAGTGAGTTTTTTGCCTTTTAAGTCATACCTTGTGAGGCTTTTACTATAGCTTATAGCATCTCAGTGTCATGATCTGCTGGACTATTGAAGATAAGGTTCTCCCTAAATACAGGGGAGAACAATTCATTACTGGGTGTGCAACATTACAAGATTCCCTGCAACATTGCAAGGTTCCTAGCTAAGAGAAATACAACTGAATAGCATGCTTAAGAAAAATATCATGCTTTTTCTGAAATCAAAACTTTAATTCATCTTGTGAGCTTTAGTTATCTCCTATGTTTTCCTAAATACTTCCAAGTTAAAGCAGAAATTCAACTAGATACTTTTATCTTATG